CATAGCGTACACAATGAAAATGTATACAGAGGCGAATAAAGATATTGCACAGGTCCGCTGGCCCTTACCAAATATTTGAAAGTCATAGCGTAACAGGTGAACGAATTTTCTTAGACCAGTGACACTAATGTAAAATTGTTTCTTTGATATCAAACAAAAATGGTGAACAATTTCATAAAGGAGGTTTGGAATTTAAAATACATACTCGATTTTTATACATCATATATTTCCTTTGAATAACCACCAGGCGTAAATTTTTCTAAAATGTCAATGTAGTTTATTTAGGAAAGTGAAGAGCCAAACGATTTTAAAACGTTCCTTTTAGCTGTATTTAAAAAAAAAATTACGAAAGACTAATTTCAAAAAAATTTCAGTTCCTATTATGCACTTCCATTAAATAAGTTCATACAAAATAAGAAAATTTCTTTTACATTCTTACTCAATGGCTGCCTTGCGTACATTAAGATATTGTGGTAGCATCAAATACCAAAATTTACATGTTAATTTTTAACGGAAATTAATTTATATAGAAAAACCTAATAAACGATATAAGCGAGACTTCACTACGTAATGCGACCGAAATGTTTTTCTCCTTTATGTTCCTATATATAATTTGATCCACATCTGTATTTTCATTTGCGCATGAATTGCACGAGAAGTTTTATTGTTTTATTAAATCAGGAAGAAAATTTTTTTTGCTATGTGAACAATGAACGATGTTGAAGGTGGTTCAAAATCCAATAAAAAAACTTTGTGTACTTACAACCACTTTATTTTATACATATATGTATATTCATAATGTACATAAGTATAAACCATTGCTAAAACTCCAACGCATTTATACATATTATATACTTTTTGGGCTTTATATAAATAAAGATGGGTCAAACCAATGGCTTGCATTGTAGCACTTTTCCCTTCAACAAGTGAAAATTCTGCTTACCCTCCTTTATACCTTGTGTAGAAACCTATACAAAAAGTTTTTTATTTATGAATTTTGCGGCAACTATTGTCACCAAAATCAAGAAACTTCATGACTTTGTTAGTTTCTCTATTTAACACCAGAGACACATAATTTGAAAGACTTTAAGGTAGATATCACTGCTTAATTTAAAAATATCTCTTTTTGTCCCATGTGTGTAGATTTCTACACATATGAGATTTTTGGTTATTTGATGTCATATTGTTTGTATTTATAAACATAACGGGATTCAATGTCATTTTCTAAACCTATAGAAGCTCACTCAATAGTATTATTTCAGTATATTATTATTTCAGTAATAGTTTTTGTGAATTTTTCATTCTTTTCAATTAAATCTAAGTTTTGTAACTTATTTTCCAAAAAATGTCGAGTTTGAGGTTTCTTTGTGACGAAGAAATAGAAGATGTTTTTGGAGAAAGCAGCGGTGATAACGATAGCAATTTTGGTTATGATAGTACTGAATTAGTTTTAAATAAAGACGATGATTTAAACTACTTATTATCAGATGATACTGATAGATCTGACAGCGATGAAAACCAAGTCAGAATGAAGAATATGAAGAAAATAATAACGAAATCGCTGATCCATTATTCATTTCAAAAGATGGTCGAATATGGAATTCTGAACCTACTTCAAATCAGTCTGGGCGAGTAGGATCTGAAAATATTATTACTCTTCCACCAGGTGTTACCAGATATGCTAAATCTCGAATAGATACGCCAAAAGATGCGTTTTTGCTTTACTTTCCTTAACAAATTGAAAAAATTATAATTGAAAATTCAAATGCATTTGGTCAAGCAAAATATGGACTTCAACATATAGAAATTGACTCAAATTTGCTTTACGCATATATTGGAATTTTAATTTTAGCTGGCGTATATCGATCAAATAATGAAACAACCGATGAATTATTTGATGAAGATGGTCGACCAATATTCAGGGCTATAATGCCACAAAAAACATTTCGTTATTTGAATAGCATCATTCGTTTTGACAACACAATGAACCAATTCGAGATTTGTTTGAAAAATGGAACAACTTGTTGCCAAATTTTTACAATCCATATGAGTCTGTTACTGTAGATGAACAATTATTAGGATTTAGAGGAAAATTTCCATTCCGTCAATATATGCCATCTAAACCAGCAAAATATGGTCTAAAATTTTGGATGTTAGTGTGCTCTAAAACGTACTACGTATGGAGAATTCAACCTTACCTTGGAAAACCGATTGGTGCTCTTACATCTGAGCAAAATCAAGGGCAGCGTGTAGTATTAGATTTAGTTGATGGCTTGAAAGGACATAACGTTACAATCGATAATTTTTTTTCGTCACATGAACTTGGCCAAATACTTTTTGCGAAAGGGCTAACAATGGTTGGCACAATGAGAAAAAATAAAAGAAGTATCCCTCCAAAACTTTTGGAGTGTCGAAAACTACCGTTATATACATCAACATTTGTATTCACAGAAAATACGGTTTTGGTTTCCTACGTTGGAAGAAAAAGTAAATGTACAATTTTACAAAGTAATATTACTCTAATGATGTTGGATGTGGACCTAAAAAATTGCCTGCTATTATTGATTATTATAACAAAACCAAGGAGGTGTAGATATAGTAGACAAAATGGTTTCATGTTACAGTTGTAAACGTCAAACAAGAAGATGGCTTATGGTAGTTTTTTCAAATATAATAGACATATCAGCACTAAATGCATATATAGTTTACAACGAAATCAATCCAAATTGGCAACAAGCACAAAAAAACACAAAAAGAAGAAATTTCCTTCGTGAGTTGGAGATTTCACTTGCAACACCATATATGTCAAATAGAACTGGAAACCCTAAATCGCAATCGTCATTATCACTGCTTCAAAATATAGCAGAACAGGATTCTGATTTTGAAAACGAAGCCCCAGCTTCAAAACGCCTAATAACCATTCCAGAACAGCTCAAAGGAAGAGGTAGATGCCACATTTGCTACGAAGAAGATTCAAAGAAAAAAAATAACGTACATGAGACAATATGCTGTTGTTGCAAAAAACCATGTTGTAAAGCGGAGCACAATAGATATGTTTGCACAAAATGTTTTTCAAATAAATTAATTTAATATATTTTCACCTTTTTCTACATTTTGATTTAAATAAAGTATAAAAAAATAATAGATATTTCATATGTGTAGAAATCTACACTTGAAGTATAAAAACGTAGTTTTTTTTTAAGAACAAAGGAGGAATACAGTCTATGTATACCTATCACACTATTAAAATTATTTTCATTCATATACAAGACTATTACTAGAATTGTATATATTTAGAATGAACGATTTATGCAGTATCTCAAATAAAGCAAAAATTAATATAAAGTGTGGTTAACATAATGCTCGATTTTAAGGTTTAATTGTGTGAGGTAAGAAAAATAATTATATTTTTTAATGTCATGGAATTTGCCGTTAACTTTTTGCGTTTATAGAAATTTGAAAAAGCTTGCGGTTTCGGAAATATAAGGTGTCAAAAATTCAAATTTTACAAATTTGAAGGGGCGATAACTTGAGATGGGATGGAGATGGAAAATAATTTTCTCCTAACAAGATAAAGTATTTATTAGTGTCTAAAAGCTGCTGGAATTTCAGGGTCCTACAGGCTGGGGTCTAAAAGAAACACGATATCAAAAATTTGGATAAAACAGATTTTAGATAACGGTAAATTTGAACGGCCATTTTGTTTTTCTAAAGTTTAACTACAGTATACCGCGCTAGGGAAAGCAAGCCGCTGCCTTTCTGCGTTTGCAAAATTTCAAAAATCATTATGGTTTCATTGCAGTAAATAGTTAAAAAAGGCCATTTTTAGGGTTTGGGAGGGGTATAACTTCTAGAGGGGGGGAGATAAGTAAAAATTTTTTTTCTACAGAAATAAGTTTCTAGTAAAGATCTATATACATATAAGATTTCTTTCTATCTTCAAGGGTGTAGAAGTTTGTAAACAAAAAAAGTGTCCACGGACGGAGGGACGGACGGACAGAGTGAAACTAATAAGCACTTTTTTCAAAAAAATTTTGGAAAAGTGCTAATAAGCACTTTTTTTCAAAAAATTTTTGGAAAAGTGCTAAAAATATGTAAACTTATATATACGCACACACATATATGTATATCTGGGGTTTACTATCAGAAAATGATATCTATATTTTTGCTATTTCGAGTTAAACGGGACGCATTTTTTGTGTTATTTTTTTTTTATTTAAACATTAATTAGTACAAATTTACTAAAGATGGTGTAAAAACTTAACATTTTAAAATTTAGTAATATTTAGTAGTAAAATTTTAACACATTTTTCTATAAAAAGTAAAATATACAGATCTTCCAATTAAAATTAGTACCAAAACCAAATAAATTCTTTTATCTAGATTTGAACGATTTAAAACGTTCGTTTCACTTGTATGAGCATAATCAATATGAACAATTGAATTTGAAGTGTAGAGATGAATATGTGCAGATATTTTATTTTCAATTTACCGTTTCAAACGAAAATTTTAAAAAATTAAATACATTTTCATTTCAAAAGTGATATGACATATCCATGTATATTTCAATACCTCCTCAGAAAATTCTGTGATATGGCGAAGTGAATAATTCTTGATATCTGGTTAGTTATAATGTTTTTATAGTTTTTTTTCAAACTACTGATAAAATAAATTTTTTTTTGTATCACAAAACGGTTAAAATATTAGGTAATACTAGTAATATTTTTGATAAAAATACGGTTATTATGTTCCTATATAAAACCCTAGATGTCGATATATAGATAATAAAATTCTAAAACCAAAGAATATAATTCAAATTAATGCGTTTTTTAAATTATACTCGAAGCACTTTTACTTCTTGCTAAAGAGATATGATTCAATTTATCTTATTAAGGAAACATTTTTATTTTATCATAATTGAACTTTTACTTTAACCATAAAATTTAATTTAAAAGTTTTTAATATTGTTGCTTAAATTAAATAATTATAACACATATTACCTGAACTCTAGCCTCACTTAAATTCAGTCTTTGACTAAGTTCCTCTCTCATGAATGCATCGGGATAATGTGTTTCTGTAATTAAAATTAATTAAGAAAGCTTATTAAAATTAATTAATTAATAAAATTGCAGTTCAACTAAAGCTCTAATTTGAATTAGAAATTTACAGCATAATATAGATTCGGACGATCAAAAGATTAATAAAAACAAAAATATTTCTTTTTAAAATAACTTTGTTTGTTTTCGTAATATATTCTTAATACATTCTTAATTTCTTAATTCGTATCTTTTTTAATATTATCAATAATGATAAAACTTCAGTTAAATAAAGTTGGGCGAAACCAATGGCTTGTAATGTAGCATATTTCCCTTTAAGAGCCGATAATAAAGCTTTTAAAAACAAGCAAGCTATGTATTTAAATTATTACAGTTACTTTCATTTGCATGCGAAACAATGTCAAGATTGCATTCGTTTAGGATGAGCTCGAATTCAGGGCTAATTGCGTGAGTTACGAATCAAAGCTAAGGCTCGAATTCAAGGTTAATTGTGCGAGTTAAGAAAAATAATTACATATTTTTAAAGGCATGGTGTTTATTGTTAGCTTTCTGGATTTAGTAGAAATTTGAAAAATCTTGCAGTTTTGTAAATATAAGGTGCCAAAAATTCAAATTTTACAGATAATTCAAGACGGGTTAGAGGTGAAAAAATCTTTTCTTCTAACGAAATTAACTATCTAATTAGTATATGAAAGCTGCTGAAATTTTAGACCCCTATATCCAGCAGTCTACAAAAGTTTTAAAAAATTTGGAAAAAACGGATTTAGGATAACGGTAAGTTTTAACGGTTATTTTGTTTTTTTTAGAGTTGTATGGTATGCTGCGGTAGAAGAAGCTAACCACTACTTTTCTGAGTTTGCACATTATCAAAAATATTTGTTGTTTCGTTACAAAATAGTTGAAAAATGGCATTTTTAGAACTTTAACGAGTTTAAACCCTTTTAGAAGGGGGAGGTAGGTAAAAATTTTCTTCTACGAAAATAAGTTTTTAGGAATGACCGATTTATATTATAAAATTTAAACTTAAATGGAATGGAAGTTTTGTAAACATGTCCACGGACGGACAGGGTGAGACCTTCTTCAAAAGTTTTTTGGAAAACTGTTTAAAATATTTAAAATAGCTTTTAGGGAAGTAAATTAGAAACTCAATACATAAACGTTATGTTATTTTCTAAGAACTGCATCTCGTTCAATTAAATTTGTATTTTTTTTTCATGATCATGATTGGTTATGAGGTAGAATTCGTACATTATTAAAATAATCTTCTTTTCCCTTATGTTATTAAAACAGCATTTTTTTAGTCATTATCTGATTTTGTCCATAATTTTGGTGACTTTCTTAACAAATATTTCAATAATTTTAAATTACTTTCAATTAATAGCAATAAATAATGATGAGCAATACCGAGGTTGCCGCTAATTTTGTTAAAAATTTTAGAATCGATTTTGGTAAATTTAACTCATTTAAACTTATTTTCTAATACAATCCAGTTTTTTTTGCATCAACATAATTTCATGACGTTCATAAACAAAGAAATGTAAAAAAACTTAATTTATAATTGTGAAATTTACTGAAATATATCCGGCACCTATTCGTTCCTTATTCATTGAAAGTATTTTTAACCTCAAGTCCCCAAATTGTATTTTTTAATTTGTTTTATTTATTAGTTCTATTAAAAATACGAGTAATAATTTATTCGAAATAAAATTGAAGATTTTATTTCGAATAAATACATGGTATTATAACCATGTACATTCATTTAATGTACATGGTTATAATACCAACTCTCTCATGCAAATTTTTCACATTTAATTGTGAAAAATCCAAATATGTATCTTTGAACTCTGTATAAGTTAACAATGTGTGACATTACAGTGTTAAAAAATGGTTATAATTGGGTATTTTATTATTCGGTTACGGTGTTGTAAAAAAATATTCGTCGGTACTGGGCGAGCAGAAAAAAGACAAAACAGACTGTAATTTTATTAGTTAAAATTATTTTTTATATAATAAAACTTACAACGACTTAATAACTACTCTAAAATCTAAATAACTAACCTAAACATCGTAATTGATATTAATGTTTTTATTTAAATTGAGCTTATTTTAAGTGTAGAATAAGACTTTTTCAGAAGATATGTAATTCCATTTCCAAAAGCAAGTTCTTTTTTTTTTAATTTTATTTTTATTATGGATGAACATTGGTCGAATTGAAAACTATTTGTATCATCGACCACCATACTATTCAAATCTAAGGGGATTTTTTTTATATAAGGCATTAGTTTTATAGTGATCATTATCCAAAATATTAAAAGCGATACGATTTGAGAAATTGAATGTATTATGAAACTACTGATAGAATTAGCATTTTGTTGGATTTTTCGATATAATTATATTTACCTAAGAAAACAAAAGCTTCTGGTGGTATAAACCCGAAAGTAAGGTACTTTTAATGTAAAATTTATTTTCAAACAACGGGTAACCATATCGTTGAGTTTTCATACATTTCGTTACTTTTTTGGATGTGAGTTCTTATTAAGTTAATTATAAAAATGTCTACCAAATCATTATAAATTGATTAGTTCATACGCAAGTTTGTACATATTCTAATACCATATGTTTCAAAAAGCCTAAGTTTTTTCATCCTTGACGCAGTAATATAGGTCATCCGTATGTCATTATCGATCTAATAGGGTTTCACATTAGTCATTATTTGTTTTTTAGCACTTTTCCGAAAAAATTTTTGAAAAGAGTGCTTATTAGTTTCACGCTAATGTTCCATCCTTGTTCCTGATAGACGCCGAGTGTTCTATTGGTCTTTTCAATTTACTTGTTGCTTTCCACGGCGAGTATTTTGTGTCTTTCGAAGAAGTTAAACTTTACAAATATTTCTGGATAGACTCTTCTTTCATATCTTTGATCAATCTTCTTAAGTTTTGTGAACTATTATTTAATATATTCTTCAATATATTCTGGCTTTACGTTTTTGGCTTATCATATCCATTATGTGCCTGGGATAATTGTAACCAGATTTTCGTTCTATGATGGAATTTGGGCTTTCTCATGCTGCATTTTGTATGTCTTTCGTAAATTTTTCTACGGCTGCTTCCAAATCGTCTTCTGCATCCACTACTGCATTTGGATCTATTCTTGCTTAAGAAGAAGAATAGATCCAAATAGAATAGAATGCTTGCACTACTGCTATTCTTGCTATATTTATTTCTTGCTTCTAAGCGCAGCCCGTAGAGAGAAAAGGTTTCTTTTTTTTTTCAACACCTTCTCACCTTTCAGATTACAGCACAATGACCGGATTCAAAATTATAGCTGTCCTCGGCAGAGGCGAAATTTTCTGCAACTCTTCTTGTTGTAAAGAAATCCAAAAGATCAGGTGTTTTGTTAAGATCTGTGGGCCAGTAGGTCGACTTACCTGTGGATTGAAATACAAATTCAGTTTCTCTTATGGTTTGTCTTATCAATGTGATCCTGGAATACTAGTGGCTGTGCTTTGCATTGAAATCGCACCAAAGAATAAATCTGTACCCTAACAGTTGAATTAGTTCCTTCTAAATTGGTTTCTTTATGGAATATTTAAGTGTGCAATACATTTCTTCTACCTGAAGCACTTGCTTTGTCGCTATTACCGTAATTACACCCCGTCTCTTCCAAATTCCACCTTCGCGCGGTGAGACGGCAAAAGTACGACCAATGAACTTGAGCACTGCAACTACGGTGTCTGGCAGAACCAACCATCCCGAAGAGGTCTAGAGGAACCCAGAAACTAAGAAAATACCGGCAGACTTGCAGTAACGAGTAAAACCTATATTCAGTTAACCCAGCCCAATTCAGTGGTGTTATACGACCCGTGCTCAGTGGATTAGTTGGTAGCAGAGGGGTATACTGGCTGCCGCGAACGGAGTCTCTCTGATACCAGGTCACCTCAGAAAGTATTTCTGACCTTACTACGTCATGCGGGCCTCCGGCATAGAGGACTATCTTTTCCCTAGCTATTCGGAGGAAGAAAACATGGAGAAAGAACAACAACCAAAACGAAAACAAAGACAACAACAAAAACAAGGCGTACGGGAAAAAGCCGATCCGAAACAACGAGAAAGTAGCAGCACGGCGAGGCAAAGCGGCATCCTTCTGAACAATATGGAGACCAACCTACATGCCGCTCACAAGGACGTCGACCCAGCAACCGGAGATTGAATCCGAAGAGGAAAAATGCCCCCGTAAAGACAAGAAGAGGAGAGGTAGGAAGCAACCCTGCCTACCGCCGTTGGGAAAACCAGGAGGTCTGGATGACCGGAAGAGGGGTGGGCTCAGTGGTGCCGGCGTAAGGTGGTGCTTACGTTTCCAGGAACAGCACAAAGCTCCCGAAGAGGCCAGGAAATTGGCAGAAGGAAGAAGGAGATCCGTGGGAGAACAAGCCCAGGTTGCTCATGGAAGGAAAGCAGGATGATAAAATAATAAATAAAAAATAATAAATAATAAAAAATCAAATAATAAATGATAAATAATAAAAAACAAAAAATAAATAATAATTAATGAACAATAAATAATAAATTATAATAATAAATAATATATAACAAATAAAAAATAATAAATAATAAATAATAAATAATAAATAATAAATAATAAATAATAAACAATAAATAATAAATAATAAATAATAAATAATAAATAATAAATAATAAATAATAAATAATAAATAATAAATAATAAATAATAAATAATAAATAATAAATAATAAATAATAAATAATAAAAAATAAATAATAAATTATAAATAATAAATAATAAATAATAAATAATAAATAATAAATAATAAATAATAAATAATAAATAATAAATAATAAATAATAAATAATAAATAATAAATAATAAATAACAAATAATAAATAATAAATAATAAATAATAAATAATGAATAATAAATAATAAATAATAAATAATAAATAATAAATAATAAATAATAAATAATAAATAATAAATAATAAATAATAAATAATAAATTATAAAT